CTTCCAAATTTTTATTCAAAGATTGAGAACATTTTTGGTATAGTAAACGTCCAAATTGGAAAAATTATATTTTTAGCGAATTGTTGGCCTTTGAATTAGCTTTCCAACACATTTTGAATCAACTCAATTGGATATCGAAAAACCATTGAAGAGATTCAAGATTTTAAGATTTACCTTCATATTTTCAATTCATCAAAACTTCGGATTATATCTTTTCACTTAAATATGATTTCTTATAATTTCAATATATTAAGCTAGTTTTATACATTGCTTGAATAAATTGAACCCTTGTTATGATATTTTTAGTTTTTAATTAATTATTATGACTTTAATTTGGTTTTATTTGTGGATGTTTATTTTCATTGTTATCGTTCTTTTCAATTGTTTGATATCAATTGAATTGTTAGTGGATTTTATTGTTATCAAGAGAGACAATAGAGTTTAAGTACAATATAATAAACATTGTAAGGTTCAATAGAAGATAGAGATATATATCTATACTTTATATGGTTTCAATGGATATTCTTGTGCTTGTTAATGCATTTATTATGTTTGCATTTTTCATAGAGAGGTGAAAGAGTTACATGAGAGGAATATGTTTGATCAATATCGAGAGAGTCTTTTAATTAAATTAAGAATATTGACCAACATAAATGATTTTAAATTGTCACTTTAATTGTTACACTAAAAATGGATTAACAAAGAGGAATTCGATATCTTAACAATGCATCTCATATATTTAAAAAACACATTTACTTGCTTTCGCTAGTTTAATTAATTTAGGGATTTGTTAGAAAATTTGCAACATGTTTGCTATTCGATTAAAGTTGCAATTAAATTTAACTCGATCAAATACATAATTATCGTGGGTTCGACATTCTATTCACTACTTTATTATTTGTTCACCATCCCGTCAACTTGCGGGAAATCAAATGATCACCTAGAGCTTCCACAAAAACCACCTTTAATGTGGCGAACTTGTACCGCGATATGTCAAGATGTTTTAATTAATGCGAACAAAAAATCAAAAAGTACCGAGCCATGTTTGGTATAGTAGATTCGGCCTTATTAATTTAAAAAAAAAAAAAAAAAAAAAAAAAAAAAAACAAAACAAACGGTTAAGATATTGTATTTCGTGTTTAATTATAAGATTCCCTGCGCAAGTTGCTATTGAAAATAATAGATCTACCATGGGGTTTTTTCCCACTGCATGAAACACGTGATTGGAGCATATCATCCTCCACATGAGATCCCATGAATAACCATAGGGAATAAGCAAAGAAACTTCCCATTGTCGCTCTTCCTTTTATTTTATTTTATTATTATTATTATTATTTTTTATCATGCTTGCTTTGTCTGTTATTGTTGGCCACTACAACAAAAACAGCATTTTGCAACATTCAAAAAACGTTGCTAAAGACCTTTTTGCAACGTTTGGACGTATGTTGCAAATCCCAGTGTTGTCGTGGAGCGAAAGGATACGACAACGTTTTTTAAACAATATATATATATATTTTTTACAGTAATATAAAATATTCAAACAACAACAAAAAGAAGAAAGACTATTTACATTCTTTTTATTTTTCTATTTGAATTTTAGTTTCATTTTCGGAACTAAAAAAGAAACTATCGATTTTTCCACAATACATTTTTCTGTTATGATTTTAGTGCTTTTTGTGATCCGTAGCTATCAAAACTTCTTCAACAAATGATAAAATTTTAGTTATTTAATTTAAATAAAATGAACCCTCCTTTCAGAATCTTATTAAGTTGTACTTCATTTAATTTCCTCTACAGTATTGGGCTTTGGTGGTATTTATCATGCACTTCTGGACCTGAGACACTTGAGGAATCTTTTCCATTCTTCGGTTATGTATGGAAAGATAGAAATAAAATGACCACAATTTTAGGTATTCACTTAATCTTGTTAGGTCTAGGTGCTTTTCTTCTAGTATTCAAGACTCTTTATTTTGGGGGCGTATATGATACTTGGGCTCCGGGAAGGGGAGATGTAAGAAAAATTACCAACTTCACCCTTAGCCCAAGTATTATATTTTGTTATTTACTAAAATCGCCCTTTGGAGGGGAAGGATGGATTGTTAGTGTGGACGATTTAGAAAATATAATCGGAGGAGAACCAGTCGAGATATGATAAATCAGTCATATCTTTGCAGCAACTGAATTTTATTTATTTTTTGCATAAACTTTAATTAGAAGTTGTAAAACAAAATGAAAGAAGTAAAGGTGTGGATAAATGGAAGGATGAGAGAAAGAGAGAAAAAGAATATCAATGATATAGAATTCCAATATGCAAGGTCTACGAGTCATCTCATAAAAGACAGTGTAATAAAGCATCAATACTAATTGATTCATCCATAATTAAATATTAAATGAATCAAGAAAAAAATAAAGAGTTTGGAGCCAATAAAAACTAAGAAGATTGACTCGGGATCATAATCCATAAATTGACTTGCAAAATTGAAAATGACAAATTTTGGAATTGTATAAAAATAGGTAATTTCATTAAAAAATTTTAAATACATAATGTGAAGTATGACAATATTCTCTATACACTTGAATACATAATGTAAAAAATGCAAGCATGCTATTGAAAAACATAACAAACTTCTCTTCATCTAATTCATAGTGAAATTAATGATATTTCATGATGCCCTTGTACTAAGCTTTAGTGTCATGTGCTGCTCACCCCAACCCTCATTACTCTTAACAATTGCAAGTCTTTTTTTATGCAGTAATCCAATAGTAAGCCAAAGAATTAGTGACAATCTTTAGAAAATTGCAAGTCCTACATTTGTAGAATGCAATCTTCAAAGAATTTGTAAGCCAAAGTAGATATGACACAAAAAAAAAAAAAAAAAATTGTAGAATGCAATCTACAAAGAATTAGTAAGCCAAAGTAGATATGACACACAAGAAGAAAAAGAGAGAGAGAGAGAGAGAGAGAGTAAAAAAGAGGATTGTAAATGTCTCTGCACTTCTTTTGTCAAAGAATTAATAAAGGCCTCTGCACTTCTTTTGTCAAAGAATCTGCTGGTTATTCTTTACTAGTAATAAGAGGAATATAAATGTCCATTTTCTATTTTCTTCTTGATAAGGTGTCTATACTTTGAGCATTTGATTTTGATCTAAAACTTCTTTAATCACATTTTTATTGTAGTATGCTTCCAAAGATTTACCTATTTTGTTTATTATTCTATTGTAAGTGCCAAATTCTAAAGTTCTCCCACATTTATGTCTGTAACCATAAGATTGTGGCTATATATATAACCTTCGAAGTTCTATTTAATAGGTTTAACATTTCTTAGTATGTGCAATGCACCTTATATGCCATGTCCCTAACCACAAAATTGCCTGGTATTACTTCAATTAGTCAAATTATCATGATAGGATTCTCGTAGGTCTAGACAGGAATTATCCTATAAATATTATACACATTCGTCCTGGAGGATTCAGGCCCGAAGTCAACAGGATCCTCAGTTACATTATCGACTAGAGCAACTTTAATGTCAGTACCTTCTTTTCCTTTAATTTCCCTCCCTGTATAAACTAGATCATCGTTTTAAGTCCTCACCAATTTTGGGAAACCAACTTTTCTACTGCTGATTGAATCTCATCGTTTATCTAGAAAGAAATTGGAAAAGTGATAAGTATTTATATTGCTATGGTAAGAAAAGTTTTTAACTAAGATAAGCTAAATAGGTCTTTGTTCTCTACCCGAACTGAGAATGTGTCCCAACTAGAAAATGTCTAACATAGCATTGTTAATGAAATAATAAAAAATAAAAACTAGCTTTTCTTCACCTGTCCCTTTTCCCTATTATCCCCTACCCTCACCAACATGCTAGATGTCATTAGAAGATGCATTGTTGGCACTCACCTTCCAAATTGAATCATCTATAATAGGTTCTATAACTTGCTAAAAAGAATGAATCCCCACTTTTAGAATACAATCCTCCACAAAAGCGATCAAAAGCAGAAAACGGGTAAAGAAAAGAGCAAAATTGCCATAAAGAACAAGAATGAATCCCCACTTTCAGAATACAATTCTCCACAAACGCGATCAAAAGCCTAAAAGCAGAAAAGGGGTAAAGAAAAGAGCAAAATTGCCATAAAGAACAAGAAATAATCAAAATAAAATACCAAACATAATGCAATTTCAACAAGTATAGGTGGTGTTCGCATATTTTTTATATTGAGAAAACTACCTCCCTCCTTCACCTGCACTAGTATAGGTGGCTTTAGTTTCTACACCTTGTCATAACATGGTTTTGATTACTGACTATAGGTGGTATAGGTAGTTTTTGCATATTTTTTTATATTGAGAAAATTTATTATTATATGACCACAACGGTAAGACAAATCAAAAGTTTTTTATTTTTTGGTATCGATTAATCACAAGTCTTCTTAAAAACAAAGGGACATTTTATATTATAAATAAATAATTTTATAAATGTGTGGCGGTCCTATGGTCGGCTATTACATAGTTTAGGACAAATTTTGATTTAGACATGTATTGTCTCTAAGTGATTTGATTAGATGATGATGTTGAGCATATGTTGGTAAAGTGGTTTTAAAAAGTTTTTAAAAGTTGGTTCTTATCAGTTTTGACCATATATTTAGGTGGGATCTGTTCACCATTGGGGATAAATTTGAGGTGGATTGCATTCTCCTCCGTGAGAAACTTATAGTAGTATAATTGGTTGTTCAAAACCAATTTCGAATGAGTAAGAAATTATGGCATAGGCGAGCTCTTGAAATTTGGAAAATTTATAAAAATTTTCTAAACAGATATAAAAAATTTCACCAGAGTTATTAATAGTAACCTTGTCTACACCTTGTCTAAATAGATTGTTAGGTCAAACCTTTCACCAGAGTTAATAATAGTAACAAAACCAAGGGAAATGAGGGAGAAGGGGGGATGACAATCAATAAAGAATGCTATATGCATAAAAAAGTTTACGGTATACCAATAAAAGAGAATTTTTTACCTATTATCAGCGTCTATTTCTAGGCTTGCACCGAAATCCAGCTAAGAGTACTATATGATCTGAAGACCACTTTGGAGAAGGAAGTGCAGTATCCTTTCGCAAGCTATCCTCATCCAAGAGCTCTAATAGAGACTCCACAGTTAAGGAATCAGCTGAAAGCACAAAAGCTCTTAATAAATATAATATATTCACCATAACGTAAAATCAGCTATCTACAAGGTTAAGCTTGAAAAAATGAACATAAAATAATTAGAGGAAATAAAATGACAAGAAAAATTAACAAATTAAGCAACAAAATACAATGTAAAATTATCAATGCAAACACTGAACATCAAAAAGATATCAAAAATCTCGTGTATACCTAAGTAGAATATGTAATCACGAGTACTAATGAAATCTCTAGTGCAGTTTGTAAACAGGGATTCATTCATAGCAGGATCCATTCGCCTCCTTTGCTCTAGACCAAGACCAGTTGCAACTCTTGCAAATGATAGGTATGCACTTACCTGTGGAGTAAAATGTAACAAGGAGATGAATTGAGGAGATGCAAATACTTCCATGTTATGGCCCAAATATCAAACATTTGAAAATTTCAAAAAGCCAATACCAGTGGCAGCTGATGTGTTAGTTTTGGAAAAGGGAGGAGAATTCCAAGTGGATCTAGTGCTAAATCTGGATGCAGTGGATCAAATTTCCCCATGGCAAGGAGGGAATGAGGAGCACTGCATTTTAGGATTGAACCAAATAAGTAACAAAAGCTAGTTTAGATTACAATGAAATATAAGTCTCAAAAGCAACTATGTAACAAAAGGTGCACAGCAACGCACCTTCCAGGAACAGAGTTGAAATCCCCACACACCAACATTGGGATGTCTGCACTGGCAGCAATTTTTTCCAATCCTTTCAATAATGTGTGAACCTGATAAGAGACAAATAGAGACTTCAAAATCTAACCTTAACTAGAGTTAACAACATTTCAAAGAAAAGATCTAGCTGAAAAGACCTGCCAAAACTTCACATCCTTCAAATCTTGATGCATATTTACATGAGTGTTTGCCTGCGTTCAGACAAGTAAGAAAAATACTGGTCATTAAATGCTCAAGGACTAGTGTAGAAACTAAAGCCACCAAAGCTACCTCCACCACCTACACCAAAGCCTCTACCTGCTCCAAAGCTGCCTCCTTCACCTGCACCACCACCTATACCACCTCTTCCACCACCACCCCCATCTGCACCTTCTCTTAATCCTCCACTAGCACCACCTCCAAATCCACCAGCCCCTGCACCTCCACCTATTCCCCCTATATAAATTTTGTTTAACTTACCCTAACCCACCAGCACTATCTCCCAATCCACTACCACCAGACTTTAGTCATAGAGACAAAGTAAGCAAATTCACAGTCACAGAGTACATCGAGACTTGAGCAAACTTCAGGATTCACCGAATCAAGTTCGAGGGCTTCACATGCCTGGGGCTTCTAGGTCTAATTTCAAGAGCAATTCAATAGTAATTCAACACCAATTCAAGACTTCAGGCAATTAAAAATTAATTTCATATGTTAAAAAGAAAAAAATTACAACAGTACACAAACGCAAAGCAAAATAAATAACTAACCAAAAAAAGTTAAGAAGAACTTGAGTGTTGTTTAGGAATCAAAATCAAGGGGCTTCACCTCCTTCTACTGCCGTCGAATCGTTGATGGAAATGTAGACTCGAAGGACTGCTGACGGCTACCGCGTCTCGAGAAGTTCAAGGGCTCGAAGGTGCTGCGTCTAGGGCTCGAAGGTTGGAGACTGGTGGAAGGCTACTATTAGAATTGCACCAGATTAACCTCAACCAGATTCCACTCCAGATTGAACGGACCAGATTTATCTCACACGGATTTTCCCAGCTGTCTCCAGCTTCCACAGATTCTTCCCACAGCTATTAATTAGTTGGTAGTTATGTTAGTAGTTAGATAACTACTCTTCTTGTCTATAAATACAAGACTTGTACGCATTGTAGCTCATTGGAATTTCTTCTTCCAATCCCTCCCTTTCATGGAGGTTTATTTTCCTCCTTCTTTGGAGTGTTCCTTTCCTCCTGTTATGGAGTGCATTTCCTCCTATTTTGGAGTGTAATTTTCCTCCTTTAATGGAGTAATTCATCTTCTCCTTTTATGGAGATTTCTCATTCAATAAAATGTAACATGGTATCAGAGCAAAATTGCTTCCTGTTGCTGTGTTTTTATGAGATTCAACATCTCCTTTTCCCGTGTTCTGCTCAAAGAAAGCGGATCTGTGATTTTCTGTATTCTGCTCAAATGAGAGCAAATCCATGATTTGTTCTATTTTACCATAATTCTGGAAGGTGTAATTTCAGTTCCAGTCATCAATAATTTCAGAGTGTTTGATGGCGGCAGCAACATCATCTTCAATTCTAATAAATTCTAATATGCTCAGATAAATTCTAATAGATAGAGAAAAAGCATTCAAGTCCTCACGGCTTCAATTTGCTGAAGAAAATCAAAGAATTCACTCAATCGATACTCGACGATCTGTGTAATGGTAGTTCTGCAACCTCAACAATAAAATTTCTGTTCATTTTCTTCTAAATCTCTAACATCATCAAGCTGGGGATTTAAATCAGAGTGTAGCATACTTTCGAAATCTTGCTGTAATTACAGATTTGGTTATAGATTGTGCAACTCAGGGTGTTGATTTGTTTGGAAGAATTGGCGCAGAAATTATTGGTGTTGATGTGAAGTTTGAAGTTGCTTCAGAAGGTTCTCATGTACATTTGCCAGATCTCCTACGTTTTCCTTTCCAACACATTCAACTCGTATATAGTCTATCAGAGAAAATTTCGAGTTTGAATATGCACACAAAGTGTTTGAAGAAATGTCCTACAAATGAGAGCCATGAGAGTGTTGTGAGTCACTTTTTTTTCAATTCAAGTTCTGCATTCTCATCAGAGTCCACTACATGCAGCAACGCCAGCAGTGAAATTCAATTGTGATCTTCAACGTTGCTGGAAATCTTAAGGTTACTGTTGCTGTTGTTGTTACATATTCATGGTTGATATTTCACATTTTAATCTTCAAGATGGACTATAGTTGATCTTCCTAGTCCATCTTGAAGGGGGTGTATTAGAATTGCACCAGATTAACCTTAACCAGATTCCACTCCAAATTGAACGGACCAGATTTTTCTCACACGGATTCTCCCAGCCGTCTCCAGCTTCCACAGATTCTTCCTACAGCTGTTAATTAGTTGGTAGTTATGTTAGTAGTTAGATAGCTACTCTTCTTGTCTATAAATACAAGACTTGTACGCATTGTAGCTCATTGGAATTTTTTCTTCTAATCCCTTCCTTTCATGGAGGTTTATTTTCCACCTTCTTTGGAGTGTTCCTTTCCTCCTATTATGGAGTGCATTTCCTCCTATTTTGGAGTGCAATTTTCCTCCTTTGATGGAGTAATTCATCTTCTCCTTTTATGGAGATTTCTTATACAATAAAATGTAACACGACGAGATGGAGAGGCAAAGAGACGAGAGCCACCGGTCGTGAAGAGTGGGAATAAAATTCGTGGTTTNAATTGCACCAGATTAACCTTAACCAGATTCCACTCCAAATTGAACGGACCAGATTTTTCTCACACGGATTCTCCCAGCCGTCTTCAGCTTCCACAGATTCTTCCTACAGCTGTTAATTAGTTGGTAGTTATGTTAGTAGTTAGATAGCTACTCTTCTTGTCTATAAATACAAGACTTGTACGCATTGTAGCTCATTGGAATTTTTTCTTCCAATCCCTTCCTTTCATGGAGGTTTATTTTTCACCTTCTTTGGAGTGTTCCTTTCCTCCTATTATGGAGTGCATTTCCTCCTATTTTGGAGTGCAATTTTCCTCCTTTGATGGGGTAATTCATCTTCTCCTTTTATGGAGATTTCTTATTCAATAAAATGTAACACGACGAGATGGAGAGGCAAAGAGACGAGAGCCACCGGTCGTGAAGAGTGGGAATAAAATTCGTGGTTTGAGGAGTATTACCTTTGCCTATTTTTTCTTTTTGTCTCTAGTCCAAAAAGACAAAACGTTGCGAAAGAAAGCTTTGTTTTCGCAATGTTTCGTTTATTGCTAAAGAAAGTTTTTACAACGTTTATAAAACATTGCGAAAGACAGTTTTTTGCAACATTTAATAAAGGTTGTGAATGACAACTTTTTGCAACGTTTTATAAACATAGCGAAAGACAAAACTTTTCGCAACACTAAATAAACGTTGCAAAACGACGACATTAGCAACATTCATTTAAAAAATATTTTCAAAGCTCAATTATATTAAGCAATTGCAACATTTACGTATTTGAATGTTGCGATTGACCCCTTTAGCAACATTTAATTAACGAATGTTACCTTTTGCAACATGCAAAAGGTCATTTTTGTTGTAGTGAGCATTTCTTACTGTAGTCCTTTGGTCGCAGATCAACTTAACATTTCTACTGGATAAAAAAGTTATTACACCCCTCTTGTAATCAAATACACGATTTTCATTCTTTTCACTTTCTTCAAACAAGTGCCCAAAATGGATCACATTTGGGTGAAAACCAGCAGACACAAATTTTTATTTTTCTTTTTATGGCAAGTAATAAGAACAGATGTTGTAATAATTTCCAGGACTGTCCAAGCTTTGAGTTCAAATGGCTCTGATATTCTTAAGCATTTACAGCTGATAAGGATCACGATAACTTCAAGGTCTTCTGGTCATTTGAACTAAAAGTTAATGGAAGAAATACATCTGAGGATCCCAATCTAGTGGCATTAATATAATCTTGGGGGCAATGTGCTGGCACTCCCGCGGTTATTAAACCGATAACTCTGAATAATCGAAGAAGACCCCCTTCTTTGTAGTCTGGCCCTTTTGTATATGGAATAATGAAGCTTCTAATTAGCTCCCAACAAGCATTGATGAACTTCGGAATAAGCCACAGCAGAGAAAAATAATTTTTGTCTGGTTCTTCTCGAACAACCTACATAACAAGAAGCAAGTATATTCAAGTGTGTAAAAAAAAAGAAAAAAAAGAAAAGCACAAATGGATTTCAAATTGATAAGAGAAGGCTTACTTGTCCATTGTAGAAGCTATTATAGTAAACGCAACTTCCGAAGTGTTTAAACATGAGCGTCGAATCATCATAAGGCAACCTCGGCACCATGTCAAAACTATAAACAAACCTGTAATAACGAACATTGTGTTTTCCAAAATTCCCTTTCACGAATTCTCCAAAATTTTCATCTCCTACTCTAGGTTGGCCAAAAGTGTAGATCCCCTCTAATCTATCCAGCAGCCATGCCTCGTCGTGCAATGCCAATATAGCTGGAAATAGAATAGCCAACGCACCCCCCAAGCTATGGCCAGTCACTATAAACTTTGCTTTATCATCTTTTTTAAGGATTTCTTTTAGTTTTTTTCTAATGGCATAATAGGCTGTCTCTCGCTTGTTATCGGCTTGTTCTTGAGGCCAACCTACATTTTTCTGCAACCCTAGAGCTTTCATGAATCCACCATGAACTTTTCCCATCCCTGGAAGCTCGTACCTGTTGAAGACATAATTTATTGCTTCATAGAACAAGACTACGCGAAATTTTAAACATTTAGATGAAGTGATTCAATGGTACCAAGAGATATCGAAGTCTGAAGACCATGCATCTGCATCGAAGGCTTCGGTACCCCTGAAAGCCACAACGGTTAGTTCATTGTCTTGAAGCATGAACGCTTGAGTTGTAGCTTTCTCCTGATAATCTGCCGTTGATTATTGGGAAAAAAATATATTTATTGTAAGTTCCTTTAACCCAAAGTTTTCTATAGGAAATTTGTGGTCAATTAAGGGCGTATTTATTAGAATTTGCATAACATTTTTTTAAAAAATTATATTTTGCATACTGTATATCATCTATTGGTAATAAAAAAAACATATTTTGATAGAAAAATAGAAATATTTACAAATTTGCTATTATAAAAAGCCAAATAGACCAATATATCCCAAATTAAAAATAAGTATTCACACCCTATATATTAAATTAAGTAACACTTATAGTTCTTTAAAAAATAATTCCTAGAAGCTTATGATGTTTTATTAAATGTTCTTTTATTTTTTCCTTCCTTTAAAATATGGTCTTTTTGCTGTGAGGTTTACAAAATTTATCGTATTCATTTTTTTCCAAATCACAACTTGAAAAAACAGAAAAATAATTTTTATTAAAATAACATGTGTTCATAAATAGCAAAAGCTCGTTTGAAAGTTTTCTAAGATTATTAAAAGGACAAATGGAAATAATTTGTTATGATCATTAAATGAATAAGCTATGTTCAATGAAATTTTTTAGAAAAATCAAGTATGATATTATTTTCATTTTGCATCTTAAAATGAATTTCTTGTTTATTGTAAGTTAAGATTATAACTTTATGCCATTTTGCAATTTAACAAAAAAATTGTTTGTCTTTTTATGTTCTTTCTCCTTTTTTAAGAGAAACTTTAAGAACATTTACAAGATGAATTATAATATTACTGATAAAAAAATATATAGTTTTGTTTGATAAATGAAAATGAAAAAATGTCAAGTTAATAGTGTATTGAAAATACTTAAGTTAATAAGAAATTAATTATGAGAAAGATAGATGTAAAAGAGAAAAATTTTGATTTTTCAGATAAAAGATTAAAGAAATTAAGCTTTTGAATAATAATAAATGGTACGAAGTATGTAAATAGTGTGACTAGTTATTTTAATTAGGGATACTTTGGTCGATTTAGTCATTTATAATGACAAATTTATAAATATTTTTATTTCTTGTGCACATTTTATTTTGCTACTAATAAGCAAAATATAGCATGAAAACTATATGATTTTACAAAACACGGGATGTAAATTGTAAGTTTTCAGATAATTAAAAAACATTTTGATTTCAGATTACGAGAAATTGACTATGCAATAATGTGCTCACCGTTCCATAAGTCATAAAATTCCAAAAACTCCATCTGCGAAAAAGGAAAAGAAATATAAGCATAATTTTGTAACATTTGACTTCTTAGTTTTTCTATTAATTTTTTCCTTAGGGCGCATTAACTTAAAAAATACTAAACCATAGAATGGGCTAATAAACTCATCCTCTTTAAATTATTTTACACGTATCTGACCTCTGATAGAAAATAAGCTCATCATGTGCAAGCCTTATTGAAGACTGTTTAAAATAAAATATTTGCTCATATTTAATAATTTAACCTTCAGACTGTTAAAAATAAAATGGATAATGCTAGTTTGACAGAAAAATCCTATCCGATGTAGTGACAGAAGATGATGTGGTGGGAGGTGATTGAATGAGACAACTGATTATATTTAAAATAGTCGAATGATAAAAATGTTATATGGCATTATGTCAACCATTATGTTAAACTTTCTGTTCCTGTAACATGATTGAAATAAAATATTTGCTCATATTTAATAATTTAACCTTAAGATAAAATTTGATAAATATAGCTCCTGTTTGGCCTCAAATTTTCTAAAATTCAATTTTTTCCTCTTCACCACATCATGGGGGTTTATAGGAGATCCCAGATGCTCGCTCGGAAAGGCTGCTATAACATATCCTTTACTCGACAAATAATTTCTATCAACTTTTTAACCACACATTTTCTCAACTTTTTTTTTTCAAAATATACTAAAAATCTGATTTTTAACTGAACCAAATAGAAGTATAATCACATATTGATTGTTATTTGAGGCCATTCAAGAGCGCCCAATTTATGCCAAATACAAATGAATTATCCGTGTACCTTCCACTGGTTCTTCACAGTAGATTCAACGTATGCCTTGTTCTCATAAGATACTTTAGAAGCCATTGCACTAAGCACAGCATTGTATCTTCGATCTTCATGGCTGATGTCGTTGTCCAATTTAACTCGATTATCTATATTTCCAATTAATGAGACAAATGTTGCCGAATCTTTTTCCGGATATATTACCTTCCCTGCACACGAAAAAAGTTCCTTCATTCAGTCTCGAAAAGTTGTTAAAATTTATGAGTCCTATGAAATGTGTAGTTAAAAATGAACTTGAGAAAAAAATAGATTTAAACATATCCCAGTGTTGTATGGAATTTTTCATGCAAATCCACCGTGTCTACATCAACTTGCAAAAACCAGAGACAAAAATTTATTAGTGCATATACCTGTTATGGAATTCAGCACTAGCCGGAAAATATTGCCATTACTTGACAGCAAATTCAGCCACTCTTCAACCGCGGAGCCAAACCCAGCCAAGGGTTTCGACACTTTCTGTAAAAGCTTCTGCGCCAATATGGAAACAAATATAATCCATCTCCGACCAAATGTCTCCCGTGTCCCTTCCGGGCAGTCCACAAATTTTCTTTTCCCTATGTCACTAGAAAATAATATTTTCACCACATCGTGTAAACTAGCTTCGTCTGGATTCAGAAGCATATAATCGCAGGAAAAGGACTTGTTGCACTTGGAAGCCATTGATTCAGAATGCAGAAAGAAAGTAAGAGACGATAAGTCTAAGCTACGTACATTTCCAGCTTAGAACACCTGTATATATATTGTTTATAATTCTATACTTTTATAATAATAAATGGGAGAAATTATTCTTGCTTATGAAAAACGTTATTCGACATACACTCGTGGGTGCATCGTTGCAGCTTTAAGAGTCCACATTGACGAATTTTTTAATAGAACCGGCCAGATTAGGAAGAAGAAACGAAGTTTCAAGAGGACAAGTTTAGGGGATTTTTTTATCAATAATTATTTGCAATAATGAGGAAAATATTCTCGACCAAGGCTCCTCCAACAGCAAGTTTATTCAAATGAAATCGTGGATCATGTGCCTTTGTATATAATTATTTGGTTGTAAAGATCGCCATTAACGTTTTGGATGTGTTTGTTCCATTTAAAAAAATAATAATTAGCCGTCCATGTTGTGCAGTTGCTTAGCATTTGTTGAAATATGTAATTAAAATTGAAGTCTGATAATTTATAAAGTTGATAAAATTTTAGCACAATTTTATTTAAAAAATAAAAATAAAAAACTAAGTCATTTCTTTTTTGGTATTCTAACCCAAATGATTCACATAATCAAGTTTACTCAAAGTCAATTCGTGTTAATTAGAGTTGATTCTCCTTAATTAAAGGATACGTAAACAAGATTAGTCAAATTAAGTTTATATATACATATATAAATTATTTTTGAAATTATAGTTAAATTTTATAAATTAATCGCCAAACATGTACAAGTATCAAGTCAGATCATGGACGATTATTTTAAATGAACAAAATCTCTTGGAATCTTTTTACGCAAATCCTTTTTCTACTGAGTATAAGCAGATGTGTTTGTTTAATCGAGTTTAGCCTTAGGGCTTCTTCCCAGATAAAAAATAATAATTAACCTCGCTGTATTTGTTGATTAAATCAAATTGATATTTTTTTGGAATTTTAAATGGCTTGTGCTTCACGTTATTAACTTTTAAACTTCACGCTTAAGAATATCAGTATTTTTAAATTTAAAGAGTAGAATATTTTATATACTATTACAATGCTCTCTACTTTGGAAATTTTTTCAAATAATATTTATTAATTTCTCTTCATCTTTTATTAACATTTTTACATCTTAAAGGACAATCAAGTCAAATACGATTTGAATAATTTAAGAAGTAGAATATTGAAATTTGTAACTTATAAAGGCGTAGTTTGGTACGACATTTGAAAAGTCAAAAACTGATTTCAAGACTAAGAGTTACTTTTGAACATGTTTAAAATTTAAATAGTCTGAAATGAAATTATTTTATCTGTCTATAAGAGCTTTTAAATATCTTACTTTGAGAGTTCTAATACAATAATTAGAAATCCTACTTATCAAACAGACCCTAAATATATTCAATATAACCTATAAAGTAAGAACAGAGATTATGGAGAATCAAATTCAATCTCTATTTTAAAGAGTCTTTATTGAAACTTATTTTTATATATTTACTCTTAAAATAAAGAATTTTTTATTTTTAGATAATCTCATGAATATATTCTTAGCAAACAGTTAATTAGCTAGTCAAATAAACATTTCCTCGAAAAAAGAAAATTTAATTATGCTCAGGATCTTTATAATTTGAGTAAGAGATGTGACATAATGGTAGAATTGAGATAACATTAGATATTGTATATCTAGTTGGCTAGTCAAGTTTGGACTACTTAAATAACGACGACTAGATCTGTGGTAGCTACTTATTCAATTTCAAGTTTTAAACTCATTGAAGAGATAAATTTAACAAATATTTCCCAGAACATATGTGTTTTTCTTTTTTTGGAATAAAAATATTAAGTTATTGGAATAATAATGGAATACAAATAAATGGTAGACACCTATAATTTTAAAATCTTACGAAATGTGTGATTAAAATTTTGACTAAATGAGAACATAATTTTTAAAATCATGTATTCTATAAGGTTATTAGCAATTATGCGCAGAATTTTGCTACACGTATAGAACAATTTTTTACAGATACTTTACAAAATACACACAGCATGGGTGGGTGGGTTATTTTTTGGATTATTTTACTCACCTCCCCATGTGAGAATCTAGAATTCTTCTGTAGGGGAAAAATTATGTACACCTTATGCAAATTAACAACAAAATTTTCATCAAAATCGAAGTTTCTAGTTGTACAACTTGATTGACAATTGGTATGTTGACAAGATCCTGAACATTGATTTCAAAAATAACTTTTTCAAATGAATGAATATAATGTTTGCCAACTTACATATTGTCAGTTAAGATGAACAAGTAGCATTATTGAAATCATTTTGACCATGACAAGCAGATGGATGCCGGAGCTGAACATAAATGTAGGCCCGTACATGATCTCTGTCTTTCAAATTTTGGGTTTATAGCTAGGGAAAATACAATATTGAATTAAATGGTGTCGGTCCTATCCCAATTATTGCAATGTTTAGGGCCAGAATGAACAAGTATTACCAGACATCAATGGAGAATTTTGGAAGTGACAGCAAGATAAATTAATACTTAGTGTAAAAAATGTGCCCATCAGAATGATTAATTTATACAAATAGAAAAATCATTTAAGTTAAAACAATTTAGTACAATAATTTCACATAATGTTGATGTGAAATTTTATTTGTATTTTCATAATGGATTAATAGTAGAAAATTTCCTAAAAGCATTTTCATGTGTGATATACTCTCATAATATTGAAAATCGCAGGAAACCCTCATATTTGAAATTTTTTGTAAGAAAAATCGCATGTCGTCAAGATCCATTAGATTTATTGTTAAATCCTAATATAAAGGGGGAGGATGAATAAATTAGAAAGGGTAAATGACTTCCAAGTACCTCAAATCCTTTGACAGAGGAGTTGCTATTGCAATAACCATATACGAACTGTTGGCGTGAGCTGTTAAAAGTCAGTTTTTAGGAAACAAAATCATATCATTTTTAAAGGGAACAGATTTAGTTAATTAGCTACAATTTCTGTATTATTTAAAATAGGAGCACCCCTTCTCCTATATAAATTTGTACACTATCAATTAGTATGTAATAGAAAAAAAATAAATACCCTTTTTTGTATTTAATTCTGACATGGTATTAGAGCAAGGCACACGGTCCATGGCCTTCTTTTTCTAAGTCTTTGGCCTGCTTCTTGTGAACATTTTCATAAACACATGGAGGGCTCCACTATTATCACCGACCCCAGCCACTCTCCACCTGATACCGAGACCATACTCACAGATCTCACTACCAAAATCTTTGAAGCCTTAACCAAAACACACACGACAGCCTCACTCACCGAGAACTCACCCCAAATTGGCATCAAACTAAACGATGCAAATTATGGATTATGGTCCCAGGTTATGGAAATGTATATTTCCGAAAAAGACAAATTAGGCTACGTTAATGGTGATGCTCCTCCACCTCTACCAACTGACTCGTACTTCCGAAAGTGGCGAACCGAGAATGCCATTGTCAAGGGATGGATTATAAATTCTCTGGACCCTGTCCTTATCGGCAATTTCATCCATTTTTCCACTGTCAATGAAGTTTGGAATGCAATTACCACCACTTATTTTGATGGGAATGATAAATCCCAAGTTTACAACCTTCGAAGAAGGGTGACTCGACTAAGACAAGCCGACGGATCTGTGGAAAAATACTATACCCAACTACAGGGGTTGTGGCGAGAAATTGATTTCCGTCGCCCAAATCCGATGAAGTGCGCTGCTGATATCTTCCACTTCAATAATCTAACCCAAGAAAATAGAGTTTATACCTTCCTCGATGGACTCGATGATCGGCTCGACAGTGCTCGTAGTGCAGTGTTGCAGATGGAGCCGTTTTCTACCGTCGAACAAGCATATGCGTATGGTCGGCGAAAGGCACTGCGACAGGTGGTCATGGCACCTATAGATTCTGATGGGCCTCCTGGAGCGGTTCTTGCCACCAAAGGGTTGAAGCTGGGATCAACTACTGGAGTGTATTCCACGAAAGGGAGCTCAAATAAAGGCGGGTCTAATAAGTCAAAGGGGGTAGATGATGAAATTAAATGCTCCTACTGTGGAAATAACAAACATACACGAGAGAACTGCTTTAAACTTAATGGGTATCCTGATTGGTGGCATGAGTTACAAGAAAAAAGGGACAAAAATGGGGCTGGTACTAATAAGCGAACAGGAAAAGCAGCCGTGGCAACTACGGACTCTCAATTATCTTTGATTCCTCAAAATGGGTCCCTTCAAGATATGGATCCCTCATCCGAACTAGGTAAATTTGGTTTAGCCTGTATTACATCCTCCAGCGATGATAGTAATAATTTTTGGTTACTTGACTTTGGAGCAACTGACCATATGACATATGATGAAAGAGATTTTATTCAAAGGTCCTCACCTCGACGCACCAATGTTGTGAACGCTAACGGAGTTATTTTCCCAGTCACTGGAGCCGGCTCTGTATCTTTGTCACCTTCCCTACATTTATCCCATACTTTACTTGTTCCATCACTTTCACATAAATTATTGTCTGTAAGTCAGGTGACTACTGAATTAAATTGTGGGGTACTCATTTATCCAAACTTCTATCTTCTTCAGGATATTCTCACCAAAGAGATACTTGGGCGTAGTACTAAGAGAGAGGGGGTTATACTACATGGAGGACTTCAGTATTGGCCGCACTCATCATGTTCAGAGTAATGGCAAGGACCGATAGATCTGGTTGTGGCATCGTCGTCTTGGACATCCATCATTCGATTATTTAAAGCATTTATTACCTAACCTTTTTTGGAATAAGGAAGTTTCTGATTTTAAGTGTAATACTTGCATTTTTGCGAAAAATCAACGCACCTCTTATTTGTCAAGCATGAATAAAAGCAATATTCCTTTTATTTTAATACATTTTGATGTATGGGGCCCTTCACCTACTGCTACAATATCTGGGGTTCGTTGGTTTGTTACCTTTATCCATGACTGCACTCGCATGACCTGGCTATATTTACTAAAAAATAAAGATGAAGTGTTCAAAGTATTTCAGTCATTCCATG